GCAACTGTTTGTTTCTTTCAATTAATTTTTTTGGGTTACATCCATAAATACAACAATACATAAAACTGTTACCAATTAAACCATACGAAACATCATAATTATACTACAACAAATCAAAAAAAAATTCTAGATGCGTTGGTATAATATTCACGGCTAAGCCGGAAAGTATAGATTTGGTCACTTTATACAGTAACGTTGAAAGACTACCCTGACCTCCGAGTTTCATCAAGATGAATCCAGTTGCATCTTCTGGCCCCATACAGCCTGCTGCATAATAATACAAATCGGTTAAGGAGTTGCTCGGTTTTGATTCCGAAATGACTCTTACTCTCAAAGAGACAAGAAAGGATGGAATGATTCTCTTCTCGAACGGGAAGAAGTGTGGAAAAGATCTTTTCCCAAAGGAAAGAATTTGTAGGATTTGAGAATTCATAAAATTTTGTTGTTCTCACGTAGGAGAAACTAGCCGGCTCAGAAGCAGATTTGAACTTTGAATTGCAAATTGGGCCATACTCATTAAAGAGTGGATTGAGAGCCACTGATAGCCGATTGGGCCAAGCCCATCAACAAAACTTGTTAGAGGGCTTCAGCAATTTGTAGAGCGTATGGATCATAAATAGGTCATCGGAAAACTTGCCATCGCGGTGAACTTTGACGATGCGGATACTTGTTGTAGCAGACACCAATCCTAGATCCAAGAGATGGGCAGCACAAAAGAGGAAAATCTCCTGGAGAGATAATGGCGAGCCGGAAAAATTTGACAAAGATCGAGATAGATGACTGACAATGGAAGGAGTTGTAGATGAAGCTAGATCTTGTAAATCCGGTGGATCCGGCGGGTGAGGATGCATTTGCAACTCCACTGAAGACATCAACTGAACGTGAAAGAGAGAGAACCTCTGATTTGCAAAGACTCAAGGATCAACATACGTGAAAAAGAAGAAAATTTTCGACACGATTTGAGAGTTTAGCTTGCTGGAAACCATGGCGTAGGGTTCAGTACGGTTGTGAAATTGCAAGAGATTCAGAAAGTTCTCGCCGGAGGAGAGGATTGGCGGTGGAATGGTGACCACAGATCTTCGGATTTTGCTTGATTGGTCCCGAGAGAGGAGGGAGAAAACGTCAATCAGGAGGAGAGGAGCTCGAAGCTTGAACGTCGGAGGCTGGACTTCATTTTTCGGTGAAAACACGGTTGCCTCGATTTCCGTGTCTGAGAGAGAAGCTTGGGCGAACTCTGATAGGCCTTGTCTTTATTTTTCTCATTCAGATATTCATTATTCAATTTTTGGAGATAGTGAAAATTTTAGTATTCGTACCTTATTATGAAGGGGAAATTGGTTGAATTGTATCCCAAGTTCTAAGTAAGGATGACATTCTAACCTGAACATTTCATACTTGCTAATATC